TCCAAAGACTTTCTACCCACTGGCCTGTGATCATCCTGCATTTGGCTTCATTGCATGTTTCCTGAGTCTGAAGAGGACTTTATAGACTAGTATCAGACATATGGGCTAATATCAGACTTATGGCCTTGGACTGGACTAGGGCGGGATGTTTCTCAATGTTCGGGATATTTCTCAATGTTCAATTCCTCTTGTATATAAACCTTTCCCTTATCTACATGTGCTTGTTTATGAATTTGTTTCTCTAGTCCATCTGGACTAACACATAAGGTTGCTATGAATCAGAAGTAAATAGTTGATCAGAAACTAATGTTTTACGACAACATCACTTTGTGGCTTCAATAATGGGCTCAAACATGAGAACAATTGTGAGGATGGTGCAGGACTGGGCTGTGTTGCCTTCGGTTGTCCATAGAGTGGCTGTGAGTCAGAACCAACGTGCTGGCACCTAACAACAATGAGTCAGAACGGACTCGATGGCAGTTTTAAAATTTACTGTTAAAAAATAACTCTCTATAAAATACCTTCGGCTGCCTAGCTAGTTGCATTGCTTTTTAACTTATGGAACTACGTCCCGATTAGTAAATTGTTTAGTCTTTCTGAGGCGAACATAATCATAATTTTTTTAAGTTGGCATGCTGAAGACAGCAATGCAATTGAATTGTGGGTGAGACAGAAAGCATCTTCAGACAAGTCGTCTGTGAGATTGCATTTTGGAAAAGTTGATTGATGTTCTCAGGTCTCTATTGAGTAAGAGAAGTGCCACTGAGTGTCCACAACACAGCCACACACAAGCAGTTTCCTCTTCCCAGGGGCACGCCTTTTTCACACCTAACGTGCTCTGTTCCAGTGTGCAGTGCCTTTACCACAACCGGAAGCCATACCAAAGCCACAGCTGTAGCAAATGCCAAGACAAAGGTGGACGAGTCCTCACAATATACAGCCAGTGTAAAGGGTATTTTGACATGTCTTCACTCACTAGAATTTGTTTATAGTCAAGTTGGAAGTATGCTGGCAATCCTGGGCGAGGTTATCTCAACAATAACCCCGACTACACTAATGAGTAGGCACCTGTGCCTTGGAGCCAGGGATTCGAGGAACTCACCCCTTCCCCATCAAAGGCTGGTGAAGAAGTATTTTTCAAAGAGTCCCATTTCAGAAGGCTTAGTGTACGCAGTACACTACTTGCAGAGAATCTGGAATTTGACCTCCACCACTTGCCCATTGGGTAACATTGGGCAGATTATTTCAGGTCATGAAGCTTCAATAGGGAAAATGTTCTTCTTTATAAAATGATTGTCCTACAAAAATGATGCATACTAAAACCTAATATAATACACTACATGGATATTAAAACCACACAAATCTTTGCAACATGATAATTATATACATGTCTAATACATGGCACAGAGGTGGATTAACAAATAGATTAAGCAAGTGCTTGGGGCATAAGCAAAATAGAGGCTCCAAGATGAGGAAAATGATTAGGTAAAATGATTTGTTTCTTTTTAAAAGAAAACAGTAGAAGTGGTTGTCTTCCTTTAAAAAAATGCTTACTTTCTTACAACAACAAGTGCTTTTTGAAGCTTTCCTCTCCTGTTTCCAAGTAAATATAAACTTGTCAGTGCTTAGAGACTGTAAAGACATGTGTCTATCTCTGGTTTCCTTTCCCTTTTCTCTTAAGGATAGAAACACATCCTCTCACACGCAACCTTTTTATTAAATTGGACACGTCCAGTTAGTTTTGTAAATTTATGCTGGTCTGCTCATGCCTCTGTTATTGATTCATACTGATTATCCCCCTTAATATAATTTAAGTCTATGCATTTATACAAGTATCGTACTTGTAATTTTTCACCTGTGTTTTACATTTCTCTGGACTGTTTAGTGTATCATTAAGCTCCTAAGCTTCTGTGACTAATGGGCTTTTCTAGCCTGTTTTGGGGAAAGAACACTATTTTAAAGCGGTAGGAAATGACTCAGACTCCATGCATAGGTGAAACACTTTAACACGCAACGTGACTCACAGGCTTTCCTGACTTCGATTGGGCCTCGATGGGCACAAACTGATGGACAGCAAAGCACACCAGGTAGGTGCTCATGGGGACAGACTTCTGGAAAACCGTTCGATTCCATTTATCGTCCA